TGGGAACCACTGGACTAAATGACACTCGTACTTGACGACAAACAGTCAGAATTTATAGCCGTGCCAAAAGTCCATGTGCCGTTAAGGACCCCAATTCCACTGTATGATTTAAAACTGGGCGTCTAATTGCTTTTTGTTATGTGCCGTGTTGATATATTTCTTCATGATTACTATGTAATATTAAAAATGTCAATATAAAAATTTGACAGCAAAAATAGCTAAATTAGGTGAACTGATAAATAGCTAAAAACACGTGAATCCTATTCTCTCGCGGGGGTGGGGACATGTATGGCTCATAGCTCACGATCTCTCCAGACAAAAAATAAATTAAAAAGTAGTATTCCAACTTATCTTTAAAACATTCTGGACCATATCAAAAAGGTAAATATATCGGAAATATCGGCCTTAATCTCACCGATACCGATACATGGCCGATACCGTAAAAATGGCCGATATTGCCGATTCCTATACCCGATACCGATACATCGGTACATCTCTAATTCGAACGCGAACAAATGGTCAATAGTTACCGAGATTACAACTGTTTTCTCACATCAATGTAAACGAGAGAGTCTTCGGAGCACTTCACATTATGTTAAAAGTTGCGTGGCCGCACGGGTAATACGTGGTCTTCAAACGCACGTAGAGGGATAACGCGCTTCGGTTTTGCTCGCCCTTCTCCGTTCCACGTTAGGCCCTTATTTTTATCTCATGTATTCTCACTTTTTCACAACCTAATTCATTTTTGTTACAATTCAATATGTTTCTCCCATTGCCGAAATCATTCAATAGTGTTGTTGTCGGCACTTGCGAGAGAAATGAAAGAGGCAGACAAACTGTATTTCATTACAACAATTAATTATTATCGCTAAAAACACTAAATAGGTTTAAAGTTGTTATAAACAATTTTCACCACTGGACGTATTGTACAATGTAGAAACACTTATTCGACTTTTCAGACCGCATAAACTATCCAAAAAAGATAACCGTTTTTGTGTTCGAGATATTAGATAATCGTCAATTCCACTACACTTTCGTGAAGTAGTGCAATTTACTATATTCATGAAGGTTTTATTAAGTTCCATTGCATCAGTGTTTGGACTACCACGCGTTTCGCCAGATTACCAATTACGCCAGATGGCGTGATTGCAGATCGCAAGGCTGGGCAAAATAGTATCTTTTCATCGAATCGAATAATTTTAACGAATTGTCGAATATCGGGTTGAATTCGGGATTTTATTCCGATTTTTATCTTTTGGATGGGCTTTGATCTTTTTTGTCGCCGTTTGTAAATTAACTGTCCCAATTTTAAACTGAAAATATTATCATTTCTGATGCCGGAATGCGGATATTTATGAAGACGATAGTTGATTTTTAGATTTTACTTTTCTATTGTGGCTGTTTTATTTTCGTATTAAATAGTGAATAAAAACTCTGCAAAGTCATTGCGTGAATTCTGAATGCTATTTTGAGTTCAAATGAAGATTAAATAAGTCGGCAATAATGGCAATTCTACTAGTCAAACAATAATTCCTTGGTAACATGGACATCCACCGTGGACACACAAATTGGAGAATTTCCCACGGCACCCCTGACAATATCTTACGCACACCAGTGTGCCGCGGCACCCCGGTTGAAAAACACTGATCTAACAGACAGACAAACAAACAAATACCTATCAACATACTTACCGATCTTAAGATCGACTTGAAGTAATAAACGCCGATAAACTGTATAAAATTCTGCTTTAACAATTTCTGTGGTGCCCCTCTTTGCTTGGTGCCCTAAGCACGTGCTCATATTTTCAATGGTTAATCCGTCGCTGGGTCGACCCAGTTTCGGATCGCGACTCATAGGTTGAGGAACACTGATATAATAAACGCATATACCGACTCATGCCTGCGAGATAGAGCAGCTTACCAGAGACTTATTGGTTCCTCATAACCGACAATTGATAGTTAACAAAGAGCCGATTAAAGTTACCAGCTACTGGTTACAAATCGGGCAATATATAGTACATTGTGCGAAGTACTATGAATGGTCACATTGCAATCTCGTTCACAATGCAAACATACGCATAAATACACACAAGACTGCGAAAACAAAATGATAAATTTTTGGTCCGATCGATGCTATTCTGAAAAGAACAATCAAGATGTACAGAACGCACTTCGATCCAACCGAACCGAAAAGATTATTAAAAATCTATTATTGCTAAAATGTTGTTGGAAAAGGCGTATGAGGCATGGCTCCCGAACCCTTTTCGAGCTTTAGAGTAACTCACGGGACACTAAACTACATGCAACATTCTATATACAGCAATTGGTTTAGTAAAATCAAAATATTTTAACCGCACTTTGCCGAGTTTCCAGTAATTACCAATATCCACCACTGGTATTCGATAAATATTTTGTTAAGATATCCGCCAGATCCATCGGTATAGGATATGGCTGAATAATAAAAATTGTTTGGCGACTTGAAATTATTAACTGTAAGTGGAAGGTTTTTTTGAAGGCCCTGGTAACCCGCCGATGGTTACAAGTTTACAATCATTATTGAAAAACTGAAAAAGAGTTTTAAAGTTCTACATTATTTTTTTCATTATGAACATTTTACTGTTAAATCATAAATAAACAAGAATGCCCAGCATTTTGAACATTTAATTATCGATGACTTGTAAGTCATCAATGTTTTAATCAAAGTTCACAAGACAAACCGCTGATACACGTGTGGGCGCAGAAGAACAGAGGCGCGAAGTTTTGATTGACGTTCGATGTTCAGCGTAGTAAATATTATGATTTTGCAGCCGGCATGTGAGATGTTTAGCATGCGGCTGCGCTGAAGATTTTTCGTTATAGGCCTATGTATGTACATCTTTTACAGTACCGTACTACGATACTGGAGTGGGTTAAAGAGGCAAAGCCCAATCAAGAGAAGTCGTTAGAGTTGTGGAAACCGGCACTTTGAGAAGAGGGATATACCGGTACCGTGAAAGGTGTTTGTGCGTAGGCTCTAACTATGACATGTTGTAATTCTATCATTCTGGATTGAACATATTTCCGTATTATTTACCAGTAGAACGAATGTGTGGAAAGTCTCATGAAGTTAAAAAGGGGGGGGGTGGTAATTAGCCAATAATTATGAGCAAAAGCCATTTATTTACATTTAAATCGAAAAATGAAACTTAATAGCTAGCCTATTGAGTGAATTGAATAATGTGTCTAACTATGACTGGGTCCAAAGTGATGGCCTGAATTCAGTGTCTTATGTAGTTTCGTACCTAACGTACTTCTAGTAGGCGTAGCATAAAATTTTTTTCATGTGTCAATCCTAACCCCCACCTGACCACACCATCCAAAAATTACATCACTTCGACGTCACAGTGACGTAATAGGGCCCTTCAAATTATACGACTTGTCATCCAAGACGCGCAGGCGAGAACGAACAGCCATTTCTCTCGTTTTCTCGCCGCAACGATCCCAATAGGAGAGAGATCGCTGACGTTAGTCAGTTCTTTATCGTCGGCGCCGATGCCATTTCGGGCGATCGTACGAGTATTTGGCAAGCTCTATGACGTGATTGTGATGTCGTAGTGACATGATTTTTGGATGGCGTAGTCAGGTGAGGGTTAGGATTGGCATGTCAAAAAATTGTTATGCTACGCCTACTAGAAGTATGTTAGGTACGAAACTACACGAGACCCCTGAATTCACTAGTCCCTGAACAATTTTTAATTTATTTTTATACAAAATACATATCTGTTATACATAATGCCGGTATACACAAGTGCAGTTTTAAGTATTCTGTGGGGTCTGCAGCTGCCGCAAAGCCATGGCGGTATTTCCATACCATGGCCGCTACGGCCAAACCTATGGCGACTGACTTTTTAGCTGCCACAAACCAATGTCGAGCTGCCGTTACCGCGGCAGCAAATTGAAAACCAATGGCAGGTAAAATTTTGCTGCCGTAACCGCAGCAGGTGGGCCGTAAAGATAGGGCTGTCCCTTATGGTGACAAATATTGGGTAAGTTGGAACGTTTTTCTTATGGATACAATTTTGATGGATTTGGGGTTAGGGTTAGGGTTTAAGTAGATATAATTCCACATGATCAATTAAAATCTGCTACTTTAATTTGTGGATATACCGTTAATACTGATTACTGAATAGCGCTATAAAACCATGGCAAGAGCTGCTGCGGTTCGTTCGTGGCAGGAGCTGCCATGAAGTGGTAAGAACTGCGCCTCGGTATACAGGTATAGGTATCTGTCCAGTATACCTGTCGCACATAATTACCTCACGGGGCATTCGAACCTGCGATCCCACGCAGGGCAATCTGAGCAACGGTAGTATAATCTTTGAGCTCTTGGATTGTGTAATGCTGAATTAATTGTATTGTTGCTCTTCTCAAAAATATTGGATATGTTTTTTTACGAGAATCATAAAAGTAATGAGAATCAATTTGCTCTCATGAATCTTAATTTTTAAGTGTACACATTGACATTTCATGATATTCAGTAGGCTATTGAATGAAACTATAGACTTACGTACAGAGAATAAATAGGTAATTATATTTGTTACATATCGCCATTCTGGTCTCGTTGGTAGATTCTAGTATACATCAAATATAGGTATAGGCAAATCCCCCAACTGACTAAAAAGTATTCTCATAACCCAGTCAAAGATACCTCATATTTTTCTCATTTTCTGGTTGTGCTACCTCTCTTGGAATAAAATGCAGCCTCATCTTTAGCTGTTTTGGTTTGACTATGGCCAATATATGGGTCACAAGTTCAATCAAGATTAGGCTTACGGTAATATATGTCAGATTGTAACACTAATTGAATTTTTGCTTCGTTTTTGTAGCCTTCCTAGATGGCAGTGAAATAGTCAAATCCTTTTATTTTACATTATATGGATGTGCATAAATAATGCTAATCAGTATTACGGTACTCAATCATAAAACATCTTATTCATTTTTTTTTTATATTTCAAATTGAAGTTAGCTGATGGTTGGCGTTATTAGATGTTAGATCTGTCCCCTATCCGGTGGACAACTGGTCAGCAAAGGAAAGAAGTTTGATTCTGAAATGCACAATGGATGTGAAATTTGTAGACATCCTTTGATATGTGGGGATTCCATTATGTGTAGAGCATAGGTAAGAAAATTGAATTTTACTATAAAAATGGACAATGCTATATTATCTCTAATAGTTCATTGGCTTAGTTTGATTTTTTGTTTTGCACTGAATTTTAATCAATAACAATAAATTAACAAATTTTGGACAAGCTGAGAGTATTGAATTGAATTCTTTTATTTCTCATGCTGGATTTTATGGCATGGATACAGTGGTGTATAGCTCTTGTATAGCTATTCAGTAGTAAGTAACTCTTCTGTGTCAATCTAGTTTCGGGCATGAGGATATTCTTTCAGCAAAAATTTATTCGTCCATGCTTTATATATCAAACAAGAAAAATGCAGTAGGCTACATTATGATTTGTGTTACTCCGCATTTAATTATTTTTTTATAAAGCTTTGTTCAAAATGAATTTAGATGTGGCAAAGTGCAAATGAAACTACCAAAAAATATTGTAGTAAACCCCACATTTTAAAGGCTCTTTGCAATGCATATATCAGGATCATCTATATAAAAAATCATTTGGTAAATTATGTATCAAAATTACTATCTAGTTGGTAAGAAAATAAATGACATTAATCCTATTATATTTTTGCTTGCTTCATCATTTTTTACTATTTCCATATCAATCAAAGTTATGATGTCATCGGTTAGTAAATTATGACATAATTATTCAATTAGAATTTAACGCAATATTACTGCTTACTGGTATATTATGTCGTGACGGAATGAACATGCATTGATGCATAATAAATAGTTAGTCAAGTTACTATTGTTGGTATATTACATGCATTTTTATTATCAATCTACATAAAACTTTTCAAAGCTCTATCTTTAGTTGTTTTCACATGAAAATTCCAATCAATATATACAATTCAATTCATTTACATGACCTGTTTTTGGTAGTAGAAAAAATGATACAAAATGGAAATTATTATCTACTGTTTCAAGTATAAATCAAATTATTTTTCTTCAGCTGCTTTGTAAAAAAAATATTTTTGTTATAATAGATTCAATATTCAAAAATATTGAAAATATATCGAGTGACATGCTTGTTCACATTAGTTCCACCACTCAATGTTTCAAGTTCATCTGGTTGATCAGGGATAACTCAATTTACTAATTTACTGTTTTGATGAAGAGAGATGGAATTTTTTTTCCATGCAAAAAATCTGTGACATTAGTATGGATGTTCCGATAATTTGCATACAATTTTTGACATTGAGTCATGGCCTTTCTATTTTTTTAGATCAGGACGAATCAATACAGAAATGGCAAATGCAAAAAATGAAACTGTAAAGGTTGTCACAAAAGAGGCAGGGTCAAAGTTTATTGAAGAAAACGATTTGGATTTATTTTCACTCGAAAATGAAACGGACTGTGTTAGCGAAATGAAGCAACTGATCAAAAATAATGGTAATTCACAATAATATAATATATCGATAATATGATAATAACAATACATTAAAGTAGGTCTATCTTCATCCCCTTATCTCAATATTTTACAATTTATTGCTGTTATTTAAAGCTAAAAAAGATAATAGATTTACTGCTGCTTCATACTGTAACAAATGCAAATGCATTGTAGGTAGGCATTGCATCATTATCATATTGCGGTTCTAAAATTGACTAGGTTTTTTACTCTCTGTATTCTTGATTCAGTCACATTTGATATTGGACCTTTTTTATGTATGAAAGTTTTTTGATTCTGTTCAACTTCGTGAACATCTTTGCTTGTCCCCATCCCATGAACTGATTTGAAAAAAAATATATTCAAAATACCGGCAGTTATTACATTTTCAATATATTTTTGAGGAATTTGAAGCTGACTTTTTTGCATATATGCAAGATAATATTCTTAAAATAATATAGTATAATGCACCACTTTTCTGCGGAAAATAGTAAAAATAAATTTCGCTTTTGCAGAGAGATTGAAATCAAGCTCCGTGCATATTATATTTTCCTTTTGTTTAATAATTCATTTCGTGGCATTGTCTGTCTACCGGCATAATAGTATGAATGTCAAAAATTTGTTGCATTAGCTTATGAATATTTAAAATAGCAAAATGAATGTTTAAGATTTATTTACCAGGCGATGATAGTTTTGACATTGTAAAACATAATTTAAAGTTGAGTTTAAAAACAAAATACACAATTATAATTAGAATGATTTAGATACTTTAGAAATTAACAAATTTTGATAATCAAAATGTCTATTTAACTTGGGAAAGAAATAAAAAAAATTATGCTGCAAAAAATGGCATCCAATATTTTGATCTATAGTTTTGGACGTCAACCGTCAACAAAAATTTCATGGAAAATGACATCTGTCATCACAAATGTGCTTTTTATGCAATTAAAAATAATATAATTTATTATTTAATTATTAATAAATCATTTTTGAAATTCTTATTCAATCCAAATTTCATATCTTTATTGTTTAAAATTCTATTTTGTATTGTCGGTATCTGTATGTGTAGGCTACATATTTTTTTACACAGCTCTTATTCACGTCGTTCACTTCGAACAAGGCCCTATACAAGCTGACACTTATCTAACTGACGCTTTTCGGTCCGAACAAGGCCCTATACAAGCTGACACTTATCTAACTGACGCTTTTCGCTCCGAACAAGCCCTATACAACTGACACTTGTCTAACTTGACGCCTTTTGCTCCGAACAAGGCCCTATACAACTGATACTTGTCTAACTCGACGCCTTTCGCTCCGAACAAGGCCCTATACAAGCTGACACTTGCCTAACTTGACGCTTTTTGCTCCGAACAAGGCCCTATACAACTGATACTTGTCTAACTTGACGCCTTTTGCTCCGAACAAGGCCCTATACAACTGACACTTGTCTAACTCGACGCCTTTCGCTCCGAACAAGGCCCTATACAACTGATACTTGTCTAACTTGACGCCTTTTGCTCCGAACAAGGCCCTATACAACTGATACTTGTCTAACTTGACGCCTTATGCTCCGAACAAGGCCCTATACAACTGACACTTGTCTAACTCGACGCCTTTCGCTCCGAACAAGGCCCTATACAAGCTGACACTTGCCTAACTTGACGCTTTTTGCTCCGAACAAGGCCCTATACAAGCTGACACTTGTCTAACTCGACGCCTTTCGCTTCGAACAAGGCCCTATACAAGCTGACACTTGCCTAACTTGACGCCTTTTGCTCCGAACAAGGCCCTATACAAGCTGACACTTGTCTAACTTGACGCCTTTTGCTCCGAACAAGGCCCTATACATGCTGACACTTGTTTAACTTGACGCCTTTCGCCCCGAACAAGGCCCTATACAAGCTGACACTTATCTAACTTGACGCCTTTCGCCCCGAACAAGGCCCTATACAAGCTGACACTTGTCTAACTTGACGCCTTTCGCCCCGAACAAGGCCCTATACAAGCTGACACTTGTCTAACTTGACGCCTTTTGCTCTGAACAAGGCCCTATATATGCTGACACTTGTCTAACTTGACGCCTTCCGCCCCGAACAAGGCCCTATACAAGCTGACACTTATCTAACTTGACGCCTTTCGCCCCGAACAAGGCCCTATACAAGCTGACACTTGTCTAACTTGACGCCTTTCGCCCCGAACAAGGCCCTATACAAGCTGACGCCTTTCGCTCCAAACAAGGTCTATACAAGTAGACATTGAAATTTTTCAGGTTTAACCATGCCTACCCAATTTATTACGCCCTGGGTGAGGTGAGTGGCATGGGTTTTGAACCTGAGATGTGTAATCTGTTATGCCAATGCGATTACGTCTAACGCTTTAACCACTAGGCCATCATGTCGCCCAAACTACTCGTATCTTATATTATGATTAAAAAGATTGATTGCTACCTATGACTTCCTACCCTTTATATAATAATCCAAACTTTCTTCGTTGATCTGTCAATTATCCTCATTATTATTATTATAGTAGCAAATCTAACACACTGAGGTATAATTATATGGTGTTGCTTCAAGGAGTTACACATGAAATATGCTTGATCTGACATAATTAATAGCTCCTTATATAAATATACTGAAATGGTGTCTTTGCTTTGAGTTAATCTAGTTTTAATTTCATTCAACAGAAAGCAATTGTCGCGTAAGGCCGTCGTCTCTGGTTTATAGAAGTTGTTTTTCTGTTCCATGTGATCTCCCTATTCTTCATTCTATGCACGAAGAGGAAGAAGATATTGAATCATTAGAGGTTTGTGATTTGTTGTATTTAGCTTCAAGGTATAATAACGAGGGTTTTAAGACAACACACTAAATACTAAAATTTAGAAAAAATTTTATTTGAAAATATTACTAAGAAATACATGCATGCATCTTTGAATTGAATGATCCAGATTTCTTATAGGTCAAGTTTAGCGAATGTTAAGGCCAAATTGATATAATATTATTCTTTATGCTGGTATCTAATCATAGTTTGAAGCAATATTTCGATAAAAAGTTACAGAGAATTAAAAATTAAAAATATATTTTTACCCTTTTTTTTCAAAGCAGATTATTCAAGTTTTGCTATTTTGGGTCAAAAAAACCTTTAATTAGTTTTCATAAAAAAAATTTGGAAAATAATGTACTCCTTTCTCAATTTGATACAAAAGCGAATATCAATTTTTGGATTCCTGCCGCAGAATATTTGCCTTTTACTGCACTAGATTTGTAATACAAATACTTGATATGTGGCAAAATTGAAAAGAGAGAGTAAATGAGAAAAAACTTTGTATGACATAATAAGTTGCGGTATGCAAAATAAACCCAAGCAATTTGAAGCTTTCAAATACCAATGCTCATTTAGCAAAATAAATGGTCAAATAAAGGCATAACTAGACATTGTATTTGTATGATGATGTAAATTTGAATATTGATGTTATCAATATGAAGTACTTTTTCACTTTTATTGAAATTTAAGATTGATAATGAGAGAGATTTAGGCATTAGGATAGGTGATAATGCATTCAATTAATATAAATTTTAATATGTTGATAAAATACCATTCATGAAACCAAAATTCTGTTTTTTTTCGAAAATCTTCTAAAAAAACTGTTACAAATTTCTGGAAGGCATTAAACAGAAAAGCACACATCCTTTTTCACCAAATTTGTAAGAATATGAATTGACTAGTGACTAAGTGATTAATGTACATTTGATAGTAACTAATATTGTATTGATTAAAACAGAAGGGATATCATTCTGTCTTATAAGCTATTTCTAGAATTGTGTAGAAAATTTTGCCTGTGGTATGTTATTAATGAGTTAATTGACCAATTATTATCTTTATATTGATAAATATAGGATAGCTATAGTGTTCATATGGGTACATTCTTGTTATTTATTCATAATTGATTTGAAATTTGGACTAATTAAATTTTTGTAGTATGGTGAGTAGGGAGGAAGATTTCATATTCGATATACAAGGTGTTGTAGGCGTAGCAAGCAGTAGGGTATTAAAAATGTCAAGTAATCATACTTTTGGATTTTTGTATCTTACTTGAATGAAAAGTATGGGATTGATATTTTTCATTGCTTTGAAACTCCGCTAGTCAATTAATGTCAGGAGCTTTAAAAATTCTGTTTACTCAAATTCAACATTTTTTAGTTCAAGTCAGATTTAGGATTGTGGAAAATATTTTCAATTTTTTTTTGTTAATCGAAAGGATTTTGGGGCCTTCTGACTTGAAAATGTTCAAATTTGAGATTCGTCCCAATTAGTCTATTGTTACCTGTATAGATAATATCTGCCTTTTTCAATGTTGGAAATTGACAATATGTAGAGATAGTTTTCACAATGAGTAAGTGGAATATTTTGAATTTATTTTCTATATAACGAGTTTCATGTTTATTGTAGGAAAGTTGTGAGTTCGCTATACATATTTGTACCGAAGGCAAATTTGGTTACATTTACTGTTATTTCGAGACAATTTTGTTAATTTTTTTTTTAGGAGAATGAAAATAGTGGTAAAATGGAAAATTGCAAGCGAGAAAGCATGAATTTTTGTGGAAATATAGAAGAAGAAGGAGATGAAGAAAGTGAATTGAATGAAATTAATAAGCAGAGCACAAACAAAAGTAACTTTGAAATTACTTTGTTTTCAATTTGCTATTATTTTTTAAAAGCCCAATCATGTATTTGTAAATTAGTTTATTATTTTAAATCAATCAATTGTTGTGACATAAAGGATATGACAAGAATGTCAGAATTTTACTCAACCATGATAATGGTTTTGTGCAATCATGTGTAAAATAAGAAATCTTTCATCTCGGTCGCAAATATATGTAGATATTCCCAGCCACTATGAATGCAAACATATTGGCTATTTTCATTAGTTTTCAAGTTTGGAATTGAATTGATCATTATTATTTTAAATTAAATAAAACATTTGAATTCATAAGTTTCAAATTTTTAAATTAAGGGAATGTTGTATGGGAAAATTACTTATTAATAAATAATGTGTGGTATATTTGTATAAATTAGTTTGGGATGTATTGTAAATTCAAGTTGTTTTACAGGTCTAGGATATCCTTTTATCGCGATCTCCAGATCATAGACATAATAATTGTTGAACATTGGTTCATCTTTTCTAAAGATACTTCTAAAATTTGTGTAAAGTCGAAATGAGTCAATAAGAATATGTAATATTGATGTAATCTTGTTAGTAAAGAAACAAATTTGAACAGAATTTCAAATTCTTTTGAAGTGATCTGCTTGAAAATAAACACGCACCAAAACCAATGTCTGTTAGGCATAAATTATCTTTTTCGCTACAAACTTGGCTAATATACCTAATATTAAAGAAATCAAGCCAATTAAACTTTGAGATCTTAACTTTTTGACCCTGTACGCAAGCTTGTCTGAAGAAAAGGATACAATGAAAATTGAGATTCTGAAATCTTTAGAGCGTTAATTTATTATATTATATTTATTATAATATTCTACAGCTACGTTAATGTAGTATAATATACATAATATACACAAAATACAGTATGGCACAATAAAACATCACCTGTATATTTAATTGTATTTATACTTAATCTTTCTCAATTCCAAAGAGCCAGCAAGTCACGAAAATAATGCTCCACAAGATATGACTCAGAATGAAAGTGGCAGTAGATCCTCTTCACCAACTCTGTTTGCAATGTTTCACAACTTCAGAAACAGAAGTCGAAGTGAGTGTTGTTCAGTAGCAACCATAATTTTTTTGGAAAAATTTTTTTTTTAGGATTGTTGGATAGAAACCTGCACCCTAAATGCTCTTAATATAAAATGCTTCAGAATAGTGGTTCTCAAACTATCATGATTTGTGACACCCTTTTAAAAACTTTCAACACGTCAAGGTTGCATGCTCTTGAATGAAAAAATCTTGAACTTTTTACCTGTTTCCATTAGTCATGTTATTTGCCGATTTTAAAAATAAAAAGCAAAAAAAACGAAAGTGAGAGAATATTGGCGTTATGGTCAAATAACCAAACAAATCACAATTTAATTTAAAATTCAAGTAGTTATCGCAAATGGTATCTTGTGAATGACTATGGTGGTGGCCCTAGTCGAACCGTGGTCCCTTTACAGGGCCAATGGCCCAGTTTGAGAAACTCCAGTTGGCAGCTCAATCATAGTCGTTAAAGATAAATGTTGGCATAAACTGCCCCTAAGCAGCCTAATATGTTATTGTTGCTCTTATGTGTATCTATGTTGAAGGTTCACTTAATAGTTTAACTTAACACATATTTGAGGTAAATACTCAATGGAACGACTGTTTACATTTTCTTAGTCCTGCTTACCATAATTAATTTTTTTTAATTAATTCAAATTTTTTATTGACCAAACGTCACGCCACAAAGTTGCCTCTCAATTTTTCACTATTCAAGTATTTCCGATTGAGCAATGTCCATTCTTTCAAGTTTATTTATGGCATGATCCATGGATGGTCGGTACACTGTTTCAGAATATCTTCCTTTGTTGTGTAAGAATTGAACAACATTTATGATTTGGATTATTAGCTCGGAAGAAATAATTATCACAAAAAACATGGCATGGACAAGAACCGCATATAGGTCACAAAATATTTAACTATTTAGTATTTATTTTATTTTTTTGAGGTTTTACATACCACGACGTTCAGCATTCTAATTTAGAAATTTCAATTTAGCCGAGATTTAATTAACGTCATTCCCATGTAACCTTTTCCGGTATAAATGTCATAGAAAATCCCTTGTATCAACAGTGTTATGATTTTATGTGAGAAAATTGAATTGATTACGTCTAAAAAATTTATAATATTGAGAATTGAGGAATATATAATACTGTATCTGATTTAAAGTAGCTTACCGCCACATACCTTTCAGCAGTATTTCTGACTTTTCCAAGGCAAGGTACCTTTTCGATGGTTTGTTTGAAAGTTGTGAACCCTTTCAAAAATTCATAGGCTACTTGTTGCTATATTCATTATAGTGTAAAAATGGTGTTTTCATGGCTTTCTCTAGCAATTTAACAGATACCAATTACTGTGTTAGCGCGCTAAACTGTGTCATAAAATTAGCTGAATTGTAAAAAATCACGAATTGATTCAACATTGTTAATAATGAAGTAATGTTCGTCGTGTCATATTCAGTGAATGATTACCATTTTACCATACGCTTCACCTATCCATATGCACGCAACATTATCTTCACTACTCATGCTGATTACTTTGAATTAATAAATCATTTCGTTTTTTCATTAGCGCGAATTCTTCGGTAAATGTTACATAAAATACGCCCAACTTTACATCGTAATTTTAACGCAGAGTTTATTTATTTTTTAACTTCTAGTAAGACCGGGTAACATCATAATTTGATAATCCATAAAAAATTTTTTGGATTTTCATCAGAAATTTAATCCAAGCTTGATGGGCATCTCTGTCCGATATCATATACTAATATTAGTTCAAGTAGCATTGTAATCATTGCAGATATGGTATCCATTGTGGAATTATACTTGTCTCGCATTCGAGGGTTCATCTGAGTATTACGTCTGAAATATCTCAAGTCATTTCAACTTTTATTTTTTTTAATTTCTGTTATCTTTAATCAGGCATGGGCCAATTTTAGACATAATCTACCCTAGGGAATGAAGTGTTTGAATAAACGGATGCGCTGATAACAATGTTGGTATATCCATAATTGATATTGTCATGCTACGCTGTTATTGATGGCTCCCAGTTCTATTATCTATTAGTATGAGATAATGGTACGATGAAAAACGTAAAACAGATAATATACGAGTGTAATAGACATTATTACTCTAATACATACGTGAAATTTATAAAATTTTGTAACGAGAATATGCGCTGCGCATATATTTTATCGTTGTACCAATACGTCATTGATTCATTATCTTAGGGCCGTACAATTTCTATATAATTTTCCAATGACATCGACGAACTGATTACCTGATACTCCGAACTCCGGAGAACTAAATTGGTCTTCAACAGATTTTGTAGTTAACAGATCATTGTTGGCATTGTACGGCGGATGACTATTTCAGACATGACTGGGAACTTTCTGCCAAAAAGTATCCTATACCTATTAGTAATGAGGGAATGACAACCAAATAAGCAGTGAATTGTTTAATCAAAGGCGTTTAAGTTCTGTGAGACCCTCCCGACCGTTAGTCGACCGTGCCTTAGAGATAATGCAAAGAGCCAAAAAATTTCATCATTCACAACCATAATATTTTAGCTAGGATCGACAGACCGAAGACACCCTGTTATAAACTAAAAACATCTGTTAACAATTTCTTTGCATGTATCGGTTATCGATTATTTTCCTTTTCATAATTTTATTTTTTCAAATTTCATCTGCAAAATATCAGAAGTGCAGTCCAAGTAGAAAATGTAGACAATGCATTGCAACAACTTCGTAAATTTCCAGAACAATAAAAACTGAAGTCATGCCCTTTCGTTTCAGGGCTGCCTTTGTTCATAAAACTACATTTACGCATATCGTACGCCATAACGCCACTGAAATATGTGGTCAACTGATCCACGTATGTTCTCTATTCAATTACCATTAAATAATGACATAATCGACAACTCCTCTCATCTTGTCTCGGGTCACCTTATGACCTCCTACTATTGTAATACAAAATGTAGATAATGTTACATATTTGTATGAATGTCGCCATACGAAATATTTTCTATTCATTGACACAAGGGACAGATGTGTTTTATACGTCATTAAGACAAGCCAGATATCGCGAATTATAAATAAGAAGGTCCTCTGCTCAAAACGTTTTCTTTCTGCTAATGTTGGATTTCTTAAATTCATACCACTATTTGCTGTGTTATGCCACTTGACTAGATAATGTTTGTTTCCATGACCGTTGACCCCATGAATATTTCTATATTTATCATCACAAAATTTTTGATGCTTGTTTTAGAAGTGTTTTCGCGTGTTGGGGCTTAAAAACTAGTTCACGTGTTTTATAACTATCGTTTTAATTCAGAATATTCAACCAACATCCATTAAAGTACTGGTCGCCTTAATTTAGTCCTATCAGCTTGATATATTGCGGCTATTTCGCCAAGTGGAAACGCAAAACGAGCTAATTTTCACAACCATGGCTGAAAATTTACCCAAGTGAAAAAAATGTCTGAGCAGCTGCTAGAGTTTAAATTGTTAAGTCACATTTGGCATCTTGCTCTTTAGCCAATGCTAAAAAAAAACAAGAAGACGAGATTAGGAGAAACATCCTTGGAGATTTACTATATGATTGACCATACTCACATATGAATTGAATTTGCGAGTACTTTTTCTTACCATGGTACTATTGATTTCATAGTAATCGGATTCACCGCAAAATCAAAGGATGTGCGTCTTTATTTTGCTGGCGGCCAAAGAGTTGAGATTTATAGTTTGTCAACTTTTCCCCACTTCAAAAATAGTAGTTAACCATTTTCTAATGGCGCGTTATATCAGTTTCCCACACACGGAAAAGCCGAATTGATTGTTGCTTCACTAAGTCGTTATGATTGCAACTAGAATTTTTGAAATAATAATTGCAAACACTACGCGCAAAAATTGCCAGGGATAATTATCGTTTTATCATTTAAATATATGTTTCTCGCTCACTTTTCCTCGTTCAATATTAATGTGGTATCCCTATTTTGAATAAAATACTTTTTTCACCGGTTTTCATACAATTCATTTTGTACGCTATAATTTCATAATGCAAATCAGTCGAGATTTCAAGTTCCATAATATTCGTTGCAGAACGATAGATTTTTATCGTATGCGGCAAGCAAAGGGCATGCTCTTTCATTGTAATCACTCATTCTATGTCTGTTATTCTGAAATACGCCGGCGCGGATTATCATAATGTAATCGTGAAATACATCAGTTTTGCCGTTTTCAACACTTCCATAAATTATAAAAAAGTTTTCTATGTACCATAGATGGAATGGTATTCAGGCGCTCCGATTCATCAAACGCCCTTACACGACTATTCCCAAAACTCGGTAATATTACCATGTCGATGTTGGATATGATCAATCATTCGGTATATGTTACAAAGAGACGGCTTTTGTGTGTGTTCAATACAATGTCGGTTTCATGCTGGGTGGTTTTGTCATGGAAATGTTCAAAAAATTTCTGCCTTAAATTCTTTTCGTTTTTAGTATGGGCCGACCATTATTCATTCTCGAAAACGAATAAATTTTCACCGGATTTTCAATTTGTATTTTCCCCGCAAAATAGGATATTTTGTTCTATAAGACTATAAGTTGATGCGTAATCCAACTTCTCGGGACAAAAATTATTAGAAATTTTTTTTCAAATTTAAACGACTTAATATAATAACTGGATATTTAATACTATTTACTCATTGTATATTATCTTTTCTCGTATCTGAGGTTTAAAAAATTTGAACATGAAAAAAGGTCACGTACAAATATACCTAATATCCCGTGGAAAGTGATCATGTTTTTTAAGTTCAAAGTTAGGCCGGTGCGCTTTTCACCTAAAACTCATTTTGCTAAGATAACCAAATGCTGCTGTACGGATAACAATACATCAGCTGTAAGGGATAATTCTACACTCCTGTGTGAATATTGTTGCTGATTAATATTACATGACTGTAAACGGCGCCTCGCGCGCATCAAGTAATTCGAGTCACTTTTTGATAATCGAAGACATGAGGTTAACCCCACGGGCTTTGGTTAACTGCTTATTTGTCACGTGGTTGATGGAATGCAAAACTAACGATTGACGAGAATTGTAATTATGACGGTCATTGTTTGTTAATTAAAAGACCACACACTGCCCGGTTATATGCACAAACCGATTATGTACCACAAATTAGGATATAGCTTGTTTAGTTACTTGTATCGTCCTTTGTGTTCTGTGTATATACCAGTATTTGAACGAAATTTTTTTTGAGGTAAAACATAACCGCAGAGCCCCACCCAAAAGCGATGGCTCCAGCTACCCACGTAGAAGAAATAAGTGGTTTAGCCCTGTTTTTAGTAGAAATATAGTATCAATTGAAAAAAAAAAATCTTTCATAAAGGTAAGATGTTCTTAGTTGTCAGACAAGTCATATTTTAAACTGCGAATCATTTATTTTAGATCCTCTTGCTACAAATCGAGATGTCAGGCAAATCGGGTCACTCTATTCTATTTAATAATTCCAATGATTACATGCATTGATATTCCTAACCTAACATTTAGTACAACTTCTCTGTAACGATTCTTTTTAACGTATTCTTCATTTGTAGGTCGCATCACCAGTAGTCCTGACCTATCTCGTTCAATCGCTTCATTCAACATGCTGCGCCAACAACAGCAAACCTCAAATCCTATACAATCATCACTTCCAAATCGAAACCAACATGGACAAGTAGTTCGAAACACTAGAGTCAGACACAGTAGTTACGAATACTCACCTAATTCAGATAACGGTAGTAGGTGCGTATATTTAATTATTTTTCCCTGTTCTGTAGTATATTGTTTAATACTGACATGGACAATCTACGGCCCGCGTGCCGAATCTGGCTCGTTGGGTAATTCAATCTGGCCCACCTGATGCTGTGACAACCAAGCTAAAACTTGATGTTTTAGATAAAAATAGCTTAAGGAATTTAGTTTTGGCGCGAGGCTCATTGTTTTCCACTTTTGCTTTTGTAACAGTGTAAATATTCTTCACAAAATGTAACTTTTTACGTCACACTCACATGGCGCGCCAGTCCTATTGGTCCAAAAAATTCTGCCATTCCCTGGTTTTATTTACCGTTATATGGTGTTTTCATGAGACTTGCACTGTTTGAAAAAAGCTGTACATTTACGTATATTCATATGTTTTTTATTTTTTAGTTTCAGTGGGAACGATCAAAGCCCCGTTTTCCTTCGTTCATTGCCTTACCGTAGTAAACGAATTCGACCCCGAGTTTCCGAATCTCTTCCTTTTACTCACGAACTATTTATGTTGGGAAGACGACGGAGTTCATCACCAAAACCTTTTAGTCAGTTATCGAGATTTCATGATCATCAGCATTACCATTATTATCACCAACACCACCCTCACAGGCGATCATCGGACATCAGTCCTCTTCACCAAAGGTAAAGTTTTACTCGATATTTTGCTCTAAATAATACATTGTATTTCGCTAGAGTTAGACCTATAACTAGCTATTCTGGACTAGTTTTCGATAAATAGCTAGCTAACTAGCCACAATTTAGATTCGGATACTAGCACAAAACACTACAATGTTGTTTGGCTACTTACATTTCGCGTCGAAGCAACACGTAAATCGTCGGTATAAGGATGTTTTTATGATATTAGTATAATCGATTTTACGTATATTTTTGATGGCCAGCATTCCAATTTTCTCGTTGGTAGAAATTAACTTACGCAAACGAAGTTTAACACTACCTTGTTACAGGATGGATAAACAGGGTGACACAAAAAACAAAACGCACGAATTTCCTAATTACTATAACAAAAATGATGAAAATGCATTTAACATTTGAACTTCTGTTCGTATAAGATTATATCCAAAACTTTCAGTATTCTAGGACGCTTCGTACAAAAGTTATGTTTTTTAAAAATATGTTCAAAATGAGTTGGGTTTTGTATTTTTGAGACGAAGGAACCGTTTTACTCTCTGGTGGCGTCGCACATTCGATGTCGTCTGTCGTTAAAAACTAATATGCGTCATTGTTATGTAATTTACTTTCGCACGCTATTAATATGCATTCATATGTGCATTGTCGCCTGTAAAACAGACAAGACAGTCTCAAGGGTTTAGATGGAATCGTTAACGGTTTTGGATGATATCATTAAGTTAATTTTCTTTTCAACACATTGATACCTATAATGAATGTTTAAATCCCAAATTCTTAAACATTGCATTTGAGATACACTCGTGAAATGCTATTCCAGCAAGAAACAATCTCTGTGAAAGAGCAAGTTTCTTAGGTTGCAGTTGTCACAAAAGTTACTGATTTTTGTAAATCAACATTTCATATTCCATGAAAAGTATATTTGTGATTCATCAAGATCCCTAGCGAGGACCAAGCAAAACCCTGAGCGAAATACCAACTTTAAAAATGTAGCGATTTATTGACTACTCGACTAATTTTTGTCAAACTTTTCTCCTCCGGAAGTAATCAAATCATATTGCTTATAATACTACATTATAAAAATCATACATGTTAAATGTCAAAAGACCGTTTAAATTATGCCATAAAATAAACAAGTATTTATCAGCAAACGTTACGTTGCCGACTCGCCGTCGCGTAAAGTATGACCACTTTTTAATTTATCTAGCCAATTTTTGCTATTGAATTTAAAATTTGAGTTCGTCGAATAAAGTACTAGCTTAGTCCAGTCACGATCTGAACTTAACCAGGTTAAATTTAGCTGATGATATGTTGAAACACGTCAAGTATTCAGTTCCAAATTTGGATCGCACTGAAAGAGCTCTCCAGTAGTGCTTTTGTGCTGAGCTATTGTCAAACCACCCCATAATCCAATGTAAGCCGATCTAAGCCTCAACCGTTTTTGCTTAAGTCTTTCAGAACGTTAAGGACATGTCCTTAAACATGTCGAGTGTGTCTCTATTGATTCCCCACACTCAATATTTTAGCTCATTTCATATTCCCGATTGTATTTCATAAATTAAGATAAACAATCAGAAGTGTTTCAAGGCTGAATGTTGAGAAATTTAAGATCTGACATTCTAGTCGTAACTTTTGACTAATGGAAATTTTCGTCTGACGATTTGGCAGAGCTATGGCCAGTAAATGAGGCAATCGCATCAATAAAGCTATTCTGCTCTTTATATTTGGTACACGATAGTATACTTACAACTGCAGGAAAAGCGATTACCATTAATATTTCCGAACTACATTTAAACAGTTGAATATTATTGATGTTTCCAATCGATTCTACTATATAAAATGAAGTCCCACATCTCCAATTGCTCTCAATCTAATAGAATTGCATATTGCCGCGGCATGGAAAGGTGTGCTAATATTGCTGCCTGTTATTGGCAATACAAAATTCAATTGGAAATCGAACATTTCAGTTCCGGTCCATGGTATTTTAGACGCGAATATCAGACAGACGCTTCTAGCTTCGTGGTCTGAAAATTATGTTGCGTCGTCTATTTAACGTCCATGTTTGTTGGCCATGTCGTGTCCATGTGTAGAGGTGGCAATTTTTCTTTTTTTGAGGTAATTTTATGTATTTCATTATCATAAGATACAATATGCTATTTCTTATTCAACCAAAGTTTACAACCGACTGCCGATACTGAGTTGGAAAAAAAATCCAATGAAAGCATGTCAAACCACTTCTTCACTGCAGTCAAGTTCGCGTCGCATTCTAAACGATGTCGTTATACATTGGTTGTGTTGTGTCGCTAGGAGGAGACACAGAGTCACCATAAACAAGCGTTTTCAGCGTGTGGTCCTAAAAGCCTTCGCGTCGTCTGATACTACCGGATGTACAACACGTTGTTTCGGTGCAAACATTATAATAACGAATGAATAACATTCCAAATTTTTTATTTAATTAAGCATACCGGGTTTGAGCCACGATTTAGAAATTTGCGCATTTTATTTGAAAATATTACTTTTTATCTTCTGTGGTCGAGCACACTTGCAGTACAGATTTCAATTCTTACTTTTTAGTATTCTTCTGTCCGACGAACTTCATGCATTCTTGACATCCTGTAACTGTGCAAGACTTCGAGGAGTTTTCCCACTCAATTTTACTCTTCAGCAGTTTCGCGCACTTTCGGAGGATGATTTACAGGTCAGTTGGTAAACCGTATATATAACGACTACGCTGTTAGTGCAATTTTGTTGAGTGGCTTTCTGACGATCTTCTTCTCTACAGGAGGAGTATGGTGTGAGTGAGATGAAAGATAGAGAAGACCTCATGAGGGCGGTGGCGAGATCGAAAGAGGTTGCAGACGACGACGAGGAAGAGAAAGAGAGAGAACGGGAGGTGAGAGAAATTTAAATAAGAATCCATTGGTGGAATATTATTGGTTGTTTTCATTCTTACGTTGATGGTATTAGAGCAGTAGGTTATCTCAATCCATCTGTCTGGGTAGAAGAAGGGAAATTGATTTTTTTGGATGAGGGGAATGTGGTGACCGTGGATATCAATGGAATGGACCATGGATTCTAAAACTGGGGCTTCGGGTCCTTACGGGGTTACGGGGAGATTCTCTGGATATCATTCATCTGAAGTGCGTTGAATGCAACTTTTTGCTTTGGAAGGGCCGACAAGGGTTCATAGTATTTGAAAGATGGCCACAGATTATAAATAGAAGCTACAGAACCACTGCACTGTACTGGAGAATGGATGGGTGGGGGCAAGTGTTAGAGTCTTTGAGAGGGGGTCACGCACTCACGCACCATAGGGAGTTCGGAACCACTGCACTAGATTACTATCGTCTACTCACGTTAAAAAGAGCTGGAGAACTGGAACCCTGTTTTCAAATGTGACGTGAATCCTCACTACATCTATTTTGTTAATTATTGGCGTCCCAAGGCAGAAAAAAACCCAAGGACTTTCTATTCAGTCACTTGTTACATGGACTTTGTACTCATAGGCAACACAAGGTTCGGGGTTCCTAACGGAATCTTGTAGAGAAATATAATTTATACTTTACTTTGCTTCTTATTTCACTTTTACTGTTTTATTCTCGAACTCGTGTGTAAGCTTCGATCTATGTCGAGAATGTCAGACATGAAAAATAGCTGTAATCGTTCCATGATATTGGCAAAAGAATGGATATCACCAAAATGCAAAACACATGACACATGCCAAGTTCAGTTCATTACAAATCATTACAAAATCTCTAAATAATCTAGTCTATTTTCGTACAAACGAAAACTAAAAAAGTGTATTGTAAGATTATTGAATGCAAATACCAGTAGAATATTGGTGATGATGGTTTCGTGTTTTATATTAGCCTACTGAACGATTACAATTTCATAACAACAATTTGATTTATTTCAAGTCGTGTTGAAATGCCTGCCAATATATCGCAATCAATCGATTGTAATGGTAGAAATGGAATCCGGTCATCGGCTGGACGATATGGGCTGAATGACATGCAAATTTATTTTTGTTGTAATACGCGTTTGATTAATTGAATGTTCGAAATATCATGTAATAAATATTAAAACACGAAAAATTTCACTTAAATTTTTGTGTGATTGTCCAATCATATTCAATTCAAGAATATCCTTAGCTATCAAATGTTAGCTATTGCCGCGATCAGATTGCCAACAATCCCTTTTCTTATTAGAATTGGGTTCTTATTTTTGTGTCAGGCGCCATTATTAACCGGCCAAACTTATAATTGCAAACATTCAATAATTCAAGAGATCGTGGATGTGTACAGTAATAAAGAAACGTTGAATTACATGGCAATTTTACAGTAAATGATTGGTTCATCTTGCATAACACAGAGATCCTATTTGAGTTAGCAATGTCAAATATGGATTGGTCATGATGCACATTCTTGTTTCACAGATGTTACTAACGTAACTAACGAATATTTGACAAATACTGTCACAGCCACTACATTGGTTCCCGCCAAAATTACTGATAGATGCGAGTTAATTTTCCTTATAATTTATTATGTTGTCACTTGAATATAGCAGTTTTCCTCCATCGTTCGATTATAGTTTCGTCACGTCAGGCGAGTTGTGACTCCTAAAATAGCAATCGACCTTTTATGACGACCTTAGTGATTTTGGTCACTCAAACTTTCACGCGATGTGTTGGTGCTATTTATTATATATAATTTTTGCGTTTCTTAGTTGGTTTACCACGTTTATTTGAGTTGTTAGTAATTAATACGCTCAGTATTAATATATGTCTACAGACTTTATTATTAGATATATGTATCAAGAGTCAGAGAGCTATCTAGAATGGTTTCACCACGCTTTCATTAGTCAAGAGTGATTTATTTGATCGCTTCGCTTTGTTTTTAATGGCGGAAGTTATCGTCGTTATCAGAAGCCACACACAAGCTGTTTTCAGGAAAAAAAATATTTCCCAAAGTCAGGCCAGCCTTTTAACGATATACAGGGGTTTATGAAGTTCCGTTACAATTTCAATGTTGTTATGAAATCAGTTCCCAAACCAGGTTTGTTTTATTTTAACTAATTAATCAGTGTTTATCACTCCCCGCGCTCGGCCATTCTCTGTGTTTTGCTGTGACTGCAGTGATTTCATTTTAACTCCCATAAATAGTCTCAAAGATTTCCATCTCATTGACGATATTTCACAGATCTAGTGTTCGATGCTGCTTATATACTCGCCATTGTTGATAGATCTGTAGTCTATATAATATACAGTCGTTTTGGGGATGTGGAAATATTTAAAATAGCAATTAAAAATTAGTTAATAGTAAATACCAGTACCAGTATTAACCGGAATTTTCAAATTGGTATTCTCAATCTGCAAGAAATTCGATATTCGATGGCCAAATAGTAAGAGCGTTGGGCCTACAGTACCCAGAGTGTCGAACTTAAAAAGATTTCTGTCCTTATAAAAATAGTACCTGATTACCTGATGGGCTAATTATACAGAGCCTCGTCCTCGAGTGATAGCGTGAAAACGCCGCACGATAAATTACTAATGCCCAGATATGATAAGTATGACGTAGCACTTTTTCTATTTTCTATCTGGTTAATATGTAAACGGAACTCGTTTCCAGCGCAGTATTTTAGATTTCCTAACTTTTTGGACGCATGTATTCATTGGATCAATTGGCCCTTCGGATCGTTTTACTATTATGTTGTTGTTGTTCTGTTGGTTATTTTTTGTCGTTGTTATGAAAAAAATTGCTATTCTCATTCACTAAATAACCAATTTTCGGTGGTTAAGTGTTTTTATCAGTTATTCCGCATTACTGAAATCATTCCAGGAACCCGTCTGCAGATTCACAAACTAAATAGAAAGATTGTATTTTTCGCTAGAATGCGCTGTATAATTTTTAACTATGGGAACACGTTTTTATGACATCGTGATCGCTGTCTTCCACTTTTTATGACATCGTGAGGGCTGGTATGGTAGTCTACTGTGACAGATTGCATACCCGTACTACGGCGTTTTGAACTTCGTATTGAGCATCGCTCTCGTGTTTTTTATACATAGAACATTAGCAACGAACAAGGCGCAGTACATGCAACCACAGATATCTAGCGATATGTAAAGAGCTATTTTTGGAAGCACTGGGTCTGGGCTGATGTATTATTGCCATCTTAAAATGTCAATGCTTATTTTATATTACCCTAGTTACCGATAATATCAATTCCCTTATCGCAATCTGTCGTTTGTTAAATTTTTGTACAACTAAAACACAATTACCATAAAATTCCATTCAATTTGACTAGTGTTATTAGTATCATGTCGAAGCAACGTGCATTTTTCGTGTTTTTTTCTCGTTTTACCCAAAACCTAACAGAATTGCATGGTCGAGTTGACTGACAAACCAATGCGTTCGCTTGTGCGGAAAAGACCGTTTAACCCTCTGCTGTTAGTTCCCGTTGTATGACTAAAAGTTTCAAGATGATTTTTACTCAATTTTTTGGCATCATATTATATTGTATAAAACAATTATTTTCGCTGCAAATCATTGAACGCATTTAGTAATATTCTTTCGTCATAATGCCTAATACAGGATACTCACGCATTGTAAAGGGTTAACATGCCTGCTTTGAGACTCATATCGCCCACAAGATTTAAAGATAAGCATTCATTCACGCGAATCGTACAAGCTAAATAAAGTTTTGTGAATGGTCGCGTTGTACTTTATTTACTCGGCTTCACTGGGAGACTAGTATGATTGGTTACAAGGAGAATTTAGATTGATATCATGAGCACAGGGAAGAGATTTATCGCTGGTATTTTTTCTGGCGTTTAGAAATACAGTGGAGAATAAGATATCGCGGGAAAGCAATTGGCAGGGTAATATCTGAAACTCGATTTTTTTTATAATTTAACCTACGGTACTTCGTGGCGACAAATATCACGAATGTTTGGTTAAAATCGCCAATAGTAAAACTGTGCAATGTACTTTGCGAGAAATCCTCATGTGGGACCAATAATGAAATCATTGATGACTTTCAAAGTTTTATACCCGTTCCGACCCAGAAAATATGATCAAATATAATTTACGGTACTTGAAAAGCATTATTCTTCAAATCGACTCTTTGCGTAAAATTACTCCTTTTCCTGATACTGCAGTCGGAATGTAATGGACGCTTTGAAAGATAAATCAAATGAGCATCGCGTCCTTGGATATGGTCCATGGCACTATTACTTCAGCAACAAATTTATTGTAATACCTAATAAGTTATTTGATAGAGATTATTAACAAATTAAGATCGTAAAGGCACTTTTCGAAACTAGGGAAGCCAAATAAATTATCTGGGAAGTGTATAGAGAGAGTTCAATATAATATTCAAATATTGGCAACGATTATAATGAAAAAATTCAAGTTTAGTCTGTGTGTTTTCAGTTATTCCATCGACGATTTGTCTGAATGACTCCAACATAATCTGAAATAAAATTATATATCCGATTACGTCTCATTGTCATTCCATGACGGGAACGGGTTTTTCATGTAACCTCCATCATTAAATCAAAATTGTGAACAAAACTTTTGCACTTTTCATTTCCCGCTTATTATTCACCACGCAAATCCCAATGATATATTTTTATTTCGTTCCATGTCGCAATGGTCGTATCGTATGATATCGTACTTGATTTTTTGAGGCCGTAATGTTAAAGTGGTGGATGACCTCGGGCAACTATTTATTTGTGTATATTTTATTATCAAATTTTATTTGTCCACGTATAAGGTCGTTTTCTGGGGCGTTTTATATTTGGGTTGATACCGAGGTTTTTGTTTTTCAAAACATAGTGAAACGCCATTTTTCACAGGCACAAGGAGATATTTATTGAACGATTATATTTTA